AACTATGAGTTTTCAGATATTATACCTGAATGACAATAATACCTCAAATACGCCTTTTCTATTTGAGGGTGCCGGTCTGCTTTCCTCCCACTTGTCTGTTTATATCTATTATTTGCACAGCTTGCATCTTGCCTTCATTTGCTCATTTTTTAATTCTTGCAGTTGTGGTTTATTTGAAAACAAAATCAGTCTTTTTCCGCCCCCTGGTAGTCTGTCTCTAACCAGCTATGCTTCCTCAAACCCCCTATTCTCCTTGCTCTTTCCTTCACTGTTTCTTTCTTCGCTGCCACCATCACTTTTCTCACCTTCTTTTTTTGTTGTTGTTAATCTTCACCTGAGGATATGTTTTCCATTAATTTTAGACTGAGTGGAAGGGAAGGAGGTTGGGGGAATGAGGGAGGGAGAGAGAGAAACATCAATATGAGAGAGCCCCATCAATTGGTTGCTTCCCACATATGTCCTGAATGGGGGCAGGAAATCTGCAATCCAGGTATGTGCCCTTTACAGGGAATTGAACCCGGGGCCCTTTGGACTGAGCGCCAGTGCTCTAACCACTGAGCCATGCCGGCCAGGCCTCTCTCACTTTCTTTAGCCTCCCTGAAGAGGTAGGCGAGGAGTCTCTAGTATTCTAGGACTAAGAGTGCAATTCTGCCTTGGGCACAGATGATTTGGATGATTTGAGTTGGAAAGCAGTTGAACATGACATGGCAATTACTGTTGCCTTATGACTCCAAGGAGCCCCTGTCTAGTAGAGACAGGCATAAAATACAAATAACTGTGGTAGAGTGAGGTAAGTGCTGTGACAGAAGGGTGTCCATGGGAGAGCAGGTTAGGGGATGCCTAAAGAAAAAGTAGTAAACTTTACTCTGAGACCTTTCAGGGAAGGATTTACAGAATTTTAGACTGAGTGGAAGGGAAGGGGGTTGGGGGAAAGAGGGAGGGAGAGAGAGAAACATCGATATGAGAGAGCCACATCAATTGGTTGCTTCCCACATATGTCCTGAACTGGGGCAGGAAATCTGCAATCTAGGTATGTGCCCTTTACAGGGAATTGAACCTGGGGCCCTTTGGACTGGGCACCAGTGCTCTAATCACTGAGCCATGCTGGCCAGGCCTCTCTCACTTTCTTTAGCCTCCCTGAAGAGGTAGGCGAGGAGTCTCTAGTATTCTAGGACTAAGAGTGCAATTCTGCCTTGGGCACAGATGATTTGGATGATTTGAGTTGGAAAGCAGTTGAACATGACATGGCAATTACTGTTGCCTTATGACTCCAAGGAGCCCCTGTCTAGTAGAGACAGGCATAAAATACAAATAACTGTGGTAGAGTGAGGTAAGTGCTGTGACAGAAGGGTGTCCATGGGAGAGCAGGTTAGGGGATGCCTAAAGAAAAAGTAGTAAACTTTACTTTGAGACCTTTCAGGGAAGGATTTACAGAGGAGCTGCGTCTTGAATTGGGCTTTGATGGCTAAAAGGAATTTATCCATGGGGATGTTTCAGAGCATTGGAGTCATAGGGAACATCAAAAAGGCTTGGAAACTTGGAAGAATATGATATATACTAGTGGCCCGGTGCATGAAATTCATGTACATTAAAAGGAAATTAATTAGAGGAAATATTTTAATATTGCTATTTGCCCTTTCTCTATAATAGAAGTATCTGGCTGGCCCCACCCCCACTGGGCGACACCAAGACCCGGCCAGCCCCACCCCCATCAAGCCCCGGTGGGTGGGAGACGCAGCCTCACGTCCCTGGGCTGGGGCGGGGGGGCATTGCCTCAGGAGGGTTCAGCTTCAGGGGGGCATGGCCTCAGGTCCCCTGGCCCCGCCATTGGGGCGGGGCTGGGGGCGCAACCTCAGGTCCCTGCTGATTGGTCCTTAAGGCATCATGGCACTGCTGCCTTATGGCGTCACAGCGTGATGACCATTTGCATATTAGCCTTTTATTATGAAAAGACATGAGAGAAAACAGGATTTGAGGGGCTGAATCTCAGGGAGATACCCTTGGTGGCGAGGGAGTCCCCTGAATTGGGGGTGGGGAGGGCCTCACAGCGATGGCAGGACTCAGGCAGGACCAGGCCTGGAGCTGCAGCAGCAAAGACACCCGCATCCACAGGTCACAAAAGCAGCGGGGGGATGCCGTCCACCTGGCTCTCATGCGGGAGTGGGCACGGGGCAGGGTGAAGGTGCCCAGGTGGACGGCGTCCCCTCCTGCGAGGTAGGTCCACAGAGACCCAGAGGGCCACGGAGACCATGGCCAGGTCAGAGGA